ATTATTCTCCAGATCCCTCCCAGCTCCGAGCTTCTTCGACTCTGTTGCCGTTTCCTCATAAACTCCCGGTACATACCCTACTAGCCTGCATCGTGGTTTTCAAATATCTTTTTAGTTTGAAATAGATGCAGATTTACAGAGGAGTCGTTCCCTTGACCTTATCTCTCAGAACTCCGGTGCCTTGATGAACACCAAGGAAGTGACATCAGTACAGCCCTAACGTCCGGACTTCACTTGGAATTTCGCCGGTTTTCACACTAATGCCCTTCTGCTGTTCCGAGATCCAGCCCGGAATCCATATGGCACTGGGCTCTGTGGCTTTTGAGATAAAGAGCTCACTACTGTATTTTCTTTTTTTTTTTTTGTGAAGCTTATGGGGATGTTAACATTTGGGGGGGTGGGAGAGTGGAAGTTAGAAAAGAATTTATCTTAAGGTAAGTGTGTCAGCCATCCTTTGTATGTTTTAGAGAACTTTGGGAAATCTCAAAAGACCATCCTGCAGGGCTGCAAAGGCACCTCGTCACAGTGAGACGTGAACAATAAAGTTGGGCCCTATATTACGGACAGTGGAGTACCGAGACTCAAAAATGGAAACCAAACAGCATCCCCTGCGGGAACATCCGCAGGCTTCTTTGGTGAGGGCGGTGGGAACACTGGCTGGAATAGGGACTGCCCAAGCCACTAACGAGTCAGATTTAGTCTTGCATACGTATTTAGTGGGCCTGCTTTGCACAAGCCTTATCCACGGCGCTGGAGAATATTCTATGCAGCATTGAATAAGATGAAGTCCCTACATTTGTGAAGCCTGTTTTCAAGGAGACGAGCAACATACAGATACACATTGGCTAATGACCGGTGCACCACCGCAAACATAAAGCGGGTTGGGGAGTGGAGGGTGGTCTGAGGAAGGATCTCTGAGGAGGCGGGCGCTGTGTGTCCTGAGTGCTCAGAACCACAGATCAGGAGGGCTTGCCCCATACTACCCAGAGCCCCGGTCTCCATTAGAATTGGAACACTGAGATTATGGAAAAAACTGAGTTTCTGCCCACCAGTCCCAGGTTCAGACTGACGTGGGTGCTCCCACAGCTCTGTGGGAGAGTTATCCTTTCTCCTCTTCCCCATCACGTGGCTTGTTGTTCACGAACGGTTCGTTTTGCTTTGAATTCCCTTGCCTTTGGAGGCACGTTGAGTAAGAAATTGAACTTGAATACGTTGAAATTGTCAGCTCTGATGGAAGCAGCCATTGCAAAAGGTCTTCCTGAGGTCCTTTGAAGTCCAGGGGAGGGGAGTGGAGGAAGAAAGCAGGTGCCAATAAACACAATGCTGTTCCTCTGAATGCAGGCTCCACGCAAAGGTGGCTTGTTCAAACCCAGCCTCAGCAGATTCCAGAATCTCTGAACCTTTACTGACCACCCAGGATGTGCCGGGCATCTGTTTACATTTAGATTTGGAGTTCCCGTATACACGTAGGGTTCCTCTACAGATTTTTCCTTGCACCCCTATTGCAAAGCGGGTGTTACACCTTTCTTTCTTTCTAGAATGAATGCGCAGGACCACAGGGCCGGCAGATGATAGAAACAGGAGCTGTGAATCAGGGGTTTCCTGACTCTAAGACCAAAGCTCTTTTCACCGCATAACAGCTCAGCCTGACTAGAAAATTCCAACTTCATCTTGTCCCGCCCAGGACCGACATGTCCTACAATTTGTGCTGTGTCAATTTAGAGAAGATTCCCTGGGAACAACACAACCATGCCCTGAAACAGCAAAATGCCACGCTTGGGACCTACGTAGAGCCTCCTGGTGGTCATTAGTTGGGGAGCCAGGATCCACACACCAGAATCTGGCACTATGGTTTCTACAGAGAAACCACAGCAAACAGCAGTGTTACGAGCCGCTCAGCCACGGTTGGAGCACCTTTCAAATCTGTGCTCTTATTAGCAAGCGTCTTTATTTTTTTTTACTTATTTTTTATTATTATTATTTTTTAGCAAGCGTCTTTAGTAGATCTTATGTATTGTTGTCATACCTGAGCTCGAGATTCCTCCTGCCTCTTAAAATAAACCGGCAAGCTGAGTCAGTTATACAAGGCGGCCAAATTGCTTTTGGATACTAGCCCTTTATCCGATATGTCATTTGCAAATATCTTCTCCCGTTCCGTCGGTTGCCTTTTAGTTTCATTGACTGTTTCCTTTGCAGTGCGGAAGCTTTTTATCTTGGTGAGGTCCCAACAGTTCATTTTTGGTTTTCATTCCCTTGCCTTTGGAGACGTGTCGAGTTAAGAAATTGCTGTGATTTCTATATACAATGGAATACTACTTGGCAACGAGAAAGAATGAAATCTGGCCATTTGTAGCAACGTGGATGGAACTGGAAAGTATTACGCTAAGTGAAGTAAGTCAGGCAGAGAAAGACAGATACCATATGTTTTCACTCATAGGTGGATCCTGAGAAACTTAACGGAAGACCATGGGGGAGGGGAAGAAGGGGGGAAAAAGTTACAGAGAGGGAGGGAGGCAAACCACAAGAGACTCTTAAATGCTGAGAACACACTGAGGGTGGATGGGGGACAGGGGAGGGGGGGAAGTGGGTGATGGGCATTGAGGGCATCTGTCGGGATGAGTAATGGGTGTTGTATGGAAACCATTCTGACAATAAGTTATATTTAATATACATATATATATATATATAAAAGGCGGCCAAATTGCGCAAAACCATCAACGACTCTTTCCCCAGAGCAGATTACACGCTTGCAGCCCGTGGGAAGACGTAACTGCCCCTCAGCCTACAAACAAATCCCTTCCTTTCAGAGTTTTCACTGACAATGAAGTCTCAACTCGAGGCAATAATCATCTAAAAACATGCCTCTGGGGTAATTGGTGTTGGTCCTGGGGCAGCCGAGGTTTACCGTAAAGGGGCTGTTTTTCATGGTTGTGCATTTTTAACTCTGTGATTAGCAGAGTAGCAAGCTGGCAAGTTTAAAACTAAACATCATTTGCTTCCTCTGCCTAGCAGGGATAAACACAAGGATCAACAGAATGCCAGAAAAATCCAAGTGCGTTTTCAGGGCCAAACGGAGCGTGGGGTGCTGGAGATGTGGATTCTTCTGGGATTATGTAGTGGGGCCACTCATTTTCCAGATGAGGTGGGAACCTAGAGAGTTGAACCACTGGTCCAAGGTCACATGGTCTTTAGAACCCGGATCCAAACCCAAGCCTTCTGACTCAGAGCCCAGGGCTTTTCCTTTGGGGTGAAGAAATCATCTCCGAGTGCCGTTTTACTCTGTCTCTAAAAGGGGGGATTAGAAAGGGGACCCATCCATATCACGGCCCCCCAGATGGAAGGACCAGGTGGAAGTATAACTGGGTTGGTCCTGAGCTCCAGGCCAGGCACTGGCACCTGCTTCCGGTCTTTGAGGTGAGGCTACATTCTGAGTTGGCCGCCTACCAGAAGGAGTTTGGGCTGATTAAATCTGCTCACCGGAGGCAGTGGGGTAGACGGGGAAGGCCGGATGAAGGGCCCCACTTGCAGCTGCTTGTGGGACCCTCTCCCCATCCCTTCCACAGGCTGGCGGAACCCCTCGTCAGTCATGGGTACCGAGCTGGTCCCCCGTCCTCCAGGGCCGGGCTTGTGCTCTGACCTTTGCAGATCCCATCCTCCCAGGATGAAGAACTGCCTTGAGTCCAGCCCTGGCCCCCCAGCTGAGCCAATGGTCCCCACTGAGCGGGGGCAGCGGGCTCTCAAATAGCTCATCACCGGGACCACGCACATCCACTTTGGAGTTAAGATCCAAATCCTGGCTCTAGCACTTTCCGGCTGAGGAAACACCTGGGTCTCTAGACCACAGTTTGTCTGCCTATAAAATGACTTAGAGATTTGTTTTGAGCACTGATGAGGTAATCCATACAAAGCACTCAGCATGGTGCCAGCCCAGCGGAAGCACTCAGTAAACGGTGGCTGTTTTTCCCACTCAGAGGTCCCTTCTCTTGCCTGGCTCCTCCGCGGGTCACTGTCTTTGCCTCTTGGCCTCTCATCATGGTTCTGTCTGTTGACCGAGCGATCCCCCAGAGTTTGACCACCCCAACCCCCTCTAAGCCACATGCCTGCTGGAACCTTCATAGAGCCCTGCCTTATAGCAGCCTCCCAGCTGGGCATCCTCCTCCCTGGACCTGCCTCCCCTAGGGCTGCCCTCCCCTCCCAACCTCCCAGGGCTCCCCTCCCCCTTCCCACTCCCCACCCCCACAGGGTTCCTGCCCCCAATCCAGGCTGAATGAATAACCAGCCTAGCCATCAGTAGTACTGGGATGGGCTCCTGACCAAGTGCTGGGGCTGGGACGGTCACACCCCACAGCGAATCACAGACTTGGACCGTGTCCATGCCATTGACGGTGGCGGAGCCCCGTCGGGCAAAGAACAGCCCTTCTCCCCCAACAGTTTTCCGTAAACTATTTTACGGCGGTGAAACCCACTTTCGGCTCGGGCAGAGAGAAGGGGCTCAGTATTTATAGTTGAGAGAGCACATCTTCTCAGGGCGACGGAGAGGTTTTTCATTTCGCTTCTCTTTGCCTACATTTCTCTGCCCCCCCCCCCCATTCGCTTGCTCTCAGTTCATGTTTCTCAAACGGTCTGTGGGGAGGGGCCAGTCATTTCTTGTCCCCCGACAACCGTGCACCAGTCCTTTGGTGAAACACTAAAAATAAATTGCTATGCAACTAAAACTGTCTCTGACACCACAAACGACGCATAGGGGCCCAGTGTCTTAAAGACTGCCAATTTCCGTACTCCTCTGGTCTGCAGGCTGGGAACCTTCTCGCAGACCCAAAGCAGTCCCTGGACCAGATTACGAGGAGGGCGGCCTCTGGAAGGAGCATGAGGCTGGGGAGCCTGCCTCACTTGCATCCCGGGTCTTCTGTCGCTGATAGTCGGCTGGCAAGCTGCCCGCCTCGATGCCGGGGGACAGATGTGCCACCAAGCCCCCGCCCAAGAGCCCAGGCCACCCTTACCACTCCATTCCAGCTCTGTTGATTTCCTCCCACCAGCACTCCGTGGGCTCCCCGAGGTTCTGGGGTGTGGGCATGCAGGCATAGTTCCACTGTCTGTCCGAGCCTTCTTTCTTGTTGAAGATGCTCCTCACGGCCACCACCACCTGCCCATGGGGACACTGGTAGCTGAAGCCTTGCCGGTTCAGGTTGACCCACCCGTCATCGCTGTAGTCATGGTACTGTTGGTAGGGGTACCCGTAGTCACCATACTGGCCCCAGGCCACGGTGACCAGGGCCAGCAGCACCCACAGCCGAGCGAGGTCCATGCCGCCCGGGCTTCTGGCAAAAAACGTCACCCTAGGTCTGCGGGGCTGACCGTTTTATACAGCTGCCGCCGACATGTGGCTTCCAGATGTGGGAGAGCAGGTTCCAAGTGCACTGTGTCATTGCTGAAGCAAAACCTCAGCGTGGAGAGCCCGGGCCATGAGTCCGTCCAGCTCGTTTTAAGGTGGAATGCTAGGCAAATGTAAGGAACATACAAATGAAAGGAACTCCCTGGAGAAAGACCCACCCTGCGGGGAGATTATAAAGGCAAATGGCTTCACGCCCCTTAGAGGCAGTCACCTGAGACCGCAGGGTGTCTGCCCCTCGTCTCTCAGGACCTCACCTCCCTCTGCTCCCCTCCCCCAGCAAACCCCCTGATTCGTTCCCCCAACTAGCCTTCCAGGACCCCACGGGTACCCGGAGTGATTTCAAAACACCAAAATAGTAGGGATGAAGGGACGGAGTCATTTAGATTTCTGCAAGGCCAGATGCCCGGTTTCTTTGAAGTTCCCAGCCCAATGTCTTTTGACCTTGAGTGTGTGCATGTCGTGCCAGTTTGCAAGGCTGCTCTGTGAATTAGTAAGTCGCTCATGGAAGTGCTGTGGGCCCCGGGAAGCAAAGGTAGGCACCATCTCTGCACTTGAGCAACCCCCTGAGCTGCTGAAATTGGACCACCCCCCCCCCCCCCCCCCATCTACAAGCTGTGCTCTGCTCTCCAGTCTTAAAGAATTTAATCCGAATCATTTGAACTCATCCTTCAGTGTTTTTCCTCCACGTTGGGGGTTTTCTTTGTATTGAAGTATAATGTACATACAATAAAATTCATCTTTTAAAATGTTTAGCATACGGTCATTTAGCCCACACTATAACTGAGATGTAGAACGGGTGCATCAGCCCCCGAATCCCTTTTAGACCCCCTTGGTGATCAAATCTTCCCCCATACCCTGTTCCTGGTAATCCCTGATCTACTTTCTGTCACTATAGCTTTGCGATTTCCAGAATGTCCAGCAAATGGACTCATACGTAGTCTTTTGTGTCTGACTCCTTTGCCTTAGAATAATGCTTTCTAGATCAATCCCTGCGGTTGCGTGTGTCAATAGTTCAGCTCCTTGTACTGTTGAGTGGTGTTCTATGTTATGGCTGTACCACAGGTACAGCTGAAAGACATTTGGAGGGTTTTTTCCCCCCAGTTTTTGGTAATTGTGAAAAAAGCTGCTATAAATATTCACGGACAGATGTTTTGTGTGAACTTTGGTTACAAAATTTATGTGAACACATTTTTTTTTATTTTGTTAAAGTTTATTCATTTTTGAGAGACAGAGCGTGAGCGGGGCTGGGGGGGCGGGCGGCAGAGAGAGAGGGGGACACAGAATCCGAAGCAGGTTCCGGGCTCTGAGCTGTCAGCACAGAGCCCGACGTGGGGCTCGAACTCACAAATTTCAATATCATGACCTGAGCTGAAGCCGGACGCTCAACCGACTGAGCCGCCCAGGTGCCCCTGCGTGAACACATTTTTATTTCATTTGGGCAAATACCTAGGAGTGGGGTTGCTGGACCATAAGGCAAGTGTATGTTTAAGTTTATAAGAAACTATCTGATTTATAAAGCAGCTGAGTCATTGTGCATTTCTCCCAGAAAACTGCCATTTCTTTCTTTCTTTTTTTTAACCATTTTAATTGGGTCATAGGCATCTAGAGGTATTTCAGTGGGGTCTTGATTGGCATGTCCCTAATGACTAAGGATTTTGAGCATTTTGTCATGTGTTTATCAGCACTGTCTGCCTTGTTAGGTGATTTATTTTTTTTTCTTTTTAAAAAAATTTTTTTTAACGTTTATTTATTTTTGAGACAGAGAGAGACAGACCATGAATGGGGGAGGGTCAGAGAGAGAGGGAGACACAGAATCTGAAACAGGCTCCAGGCTCTGAGCCGTCAGCACAGAGCCGGACGCGGGGCCCGAACTCACGGACCGCGAGATCATGACCTGAGCTGAAGTCGGACGCTTAACTGACTGAGCCACCCAGGCGCCCCCTTGTTAGGTGATTTAACTGTTCAAATCTGTTGAGCCTTCTGGGTGTCTCCGAAGTGCACAGTATTTCCCATTTTCCATCTTCTTCGGGGTTGACCGTAAGGAAGTTTCCTTAAATTGTGGTTGTAGACCAATGATCTCTTAGCTTGTTAAAATGCAGACTCCTGGCCTCCACTCCAGAAGGTACCAAATCACAACCTCACGCGGGGTGCACAGGTATCTACAGTTAAAAGTTTTCCACGTGGTTCCTATCCACACCAAGGTGAAGAACCACTTTCCTAGAGGAAAGTGGAGCTAGGGAAAAAAGAAATCCCACTGGAAATCCCACGCCTTGTGCCACCTATGGCCCATACACCAGCTGGCATTCGGGCTCGATTAAACATCAAGGCAACCTTGAAGGAGAAAGAAAGTTGCACTAGGACAGAAAGCAAGTGTGTGTGTGTGTGAGTGTGTGTGTGTGTGTGTGTGTGTGTTGGGCATGCAATTTGCTCTGAGATTGTGGTTACCAAAGGGAGGGGAGGAGGCCGTGGGCTGGACGGAGGCTTAGTTTTGTTTTTAGCATCACCTTCTCCTAGCACTTTGCCCTTAGGTAATTCCCCACGGCTGGCAACCGGCGTCCTTCAAGCTTAGGGCAGCTGCTCTGATTTATAATATGCTGGGATAATCATTCTCACCCCCTGTCAAAAATTACCACTAAAGAAACCTGGGAGATTTTGAAAAACACCTATGTCTGCGCCTCCTCCCGGACCCACCAGACCAGACGCTTCTGAGCAGGGCTCAGACGACAGTACCCTTTTAAACCTTCCTGTATGATTCTCCTGTGTGGAACAGGTTCCTAATGTCCGCTCCGGAATACCCTTCTCGGTGAAGCCCCCGGCAACTCGCTTCAAAGCCCTCAGCAGTTTCTGGGATCCCCCGAGACGTTGCATAAGCTGGGCTGCTTTCGGCTCTAAGAGGAAGCTACACCCACATTGGCCTATGTTATCAAGATGTTCACTCTTGCACACTGGGATTCCAGCCCTGGTATCTCTAAGCTGTAAGGCCAGAGAGGTCTGCCCAGAACAGGGGACAGGCGGGGCCTGGAAATGGTTGGAAAACGAAGGTGCAATAGAGTGAAGGGCTTACAGTCACTTGCATCGTCTCTCTCTGGGAGTTAAGGTTTCAGATGACTCATACGTCGTACCCAGAATGCAGGATAACTCACGAGCTTCTGCATACTACCGCTTAAAACCCTTAGGGGAAAGGGATGGAAGAAAATCAGTAAGTCAATCAATCAATCGTCTACAGCAGTGGTTCTCCACAGTGGCTGCCCATGAGAATCATACGGGAAGGTCCATTTCTAGACCACTAGAAATCAACACTCAGGATGGATCGCCACGTAAAATATTTATGAGGTTATGTATCTCAGCGCGCACACGTACGATTCATTTGCACTATGGATTTCTGCGGCTCTCGGCAACATGTGCTCAATAATCTGAGGACTCTCGAGAACTGAGTTTTCAAAGTGTGGTTCTAGAACCCGCAGCCTCAGCACCGCCTGGAAACTTGTGAGAAATGCAAATCCTCTGGCCCCACCCCAGACCCAATGAATCAGACACGTGGGGGCCCAGCAATCTGTGTTTTAGCTTTTTTCTCTTTTGCATGTTTTTTTTTTTTTTTAATCTCCGGATTTTTTAAACTTATTTTTTATTTAAATCCAAGTTAGTTAACAGAATGTAATAATGATTTCAGGAATAGAATTTAGCAATTCCCAGGGCTCATCCCAACAAGTGCCCTCCTGAATGCCCCTTGTCCGTTTAGCCCCATCCCCCTACCCAACACCCCACCAGCAACCTTCAGTTTGTATTCTGTATTTAAGAGTCTCTTTTTTTTAAAGTTTGTTTGTTTATTTATTTATGTATGTATTTATTTATTTATTTATTGGAGACAGAGAGATCGAATGGGGGAGAGGCAGAGATAGAAGATAGCGATAGAAGGAGAGGGAGAATCCCAAGCAGGGATTGGAGCTCATTGAGGGGCTCGAACTCATGACCTGGGCTGAAACCAAGAGTCGGAGGCTTAACCGAAGGGCGCCCAGGCGCCCCATGTATTTAAGAGTCTCTTATGGTTTGTCGCCTTCTCTGTTTTTATCTTATTTTTCCTTCCCTTCCGCTACGTTCATCTGTTATGTCTCTTAAATTCCACATATGAGTGAAAACATGTGATTTTGCCTTTCCCTGAGTGACTTGTTTCACTTAGCATAATACATCTAGTTCTCTCCACATTGTTGCAAATGGTAGGATTCCATTCTTTTTCATTGCCGAGTAACACTCCATTGCATATATATACCGTGTATTCTTTATCCATTCATCAGTTGGTGGACATTTGGGCTCTTTCCATACTTGGGCTATTGTCGATAGCGCTGCTATTAAACATGGGGGTGCATGTGTCTCTTCGAATCAGCATTTTTGTATCCTTTGGATAAGTACCAAGTAACACAATTGCTGGGTAGTAGGGTAATCCTATTTTTAATTTTTTGAGGAGCCTCCATACTGTTTTCCAGGGTGGCTGCACCAGTTTGCATTCCCACCAACAGTGCAAAAGGGTTCCTCTTTCTATGCATCCTTGCCAACGTCTATCTGTTGCTTGAGTTGTTAATTTTAGCCATTCTGACAGGTATGAGGTGGTATCTCATTGTGGTTTGGATTTGTATTTCCCTGATGATGGGTGATGGCGAGCGTTTTTTTCATGAGTCTGTTAGCCATCTGGATGTCTTCTTTGGAAAACTGTCTATTCACGTCCTTTGCCCGTTTCTTCGCTGGGTTATTGTTATTATTTTATTTTTTTATTTTTATTTTTTGGTGTTGAGTTTGATAAATTCCTCATAGATTTTGGATACTCGCCCTTTGGATACTATGCTATTTGTAAATATCTTCTCCAGCAGTCTGTGTTTCAACAGGCCCTCCAGGTAATCTGATTCACGCCGAAGTGAGAGCCACTATACGGAAGACAT